CCCACCCGGGGCGCCCTAAAGCCCTGTGACTTACACCCCCCAGACCCCCCCACCCGGCGCAGCGCCGCTGGCTGGGGGATTCTGGGAGTTGAAGTCCACAGGACTTAAGGACGCCCAGGTTGAGAAACACTGCCTTGGACTCTGATTCACTTTTGGATGCTGTTTGGAACCCGACATTAACCCGAATCTTTAAAAAAATGGGGGGGGACGACACATCCCTGACATCAGCCTTAAAATTGCCCAGTTTGGAGAGCCCTGCTTTAAGGGAAGGGAATGCAGTGTGAGGAGGGTGTTTCAGGACATGGGCACAATCAGGGCATCCCAGCAGCCACGGGAGGAGGCGAGGGGCAGCCCAGCCCAGCCCCCCAGAGGTTTGAAGCGTGGCCCAGGTGTCCTGCCTTTTGCCGAAGAAGGACTGTGGGGGAGGGGACACTCTTCAGAGGTTATAAAGGAAGCAGCTTCTTATGCTCCTTTGACCATTCCAGCTTCCAGAGCTCCGGGGCCAGAGAAGCCCACCCTCCCCAAGGGCAGCGGTCAAGAAACGTCCATTGGAAGAAGGTCCAGGGAGTAACAGGTAGGAAGACTTTATGGAGCCGGTGTGGCCACCAGGGCCTTGGATGTCTCTGGAGTCTCAACCCACCCAGGTCGAGTTTGTCCCAAAGGTAATTGGACTTGTTTTTTTTCCCCCTAGAAGAGGTTTCGCTTCTCATCCAAGAAGCTTCCTCAGTTCTGCCTGAATGGTGGTGGGGGAATTGGAAAGAGTATTCTCAGAGGGAGCTCTAGCCACCAGAGGACTACAAAGCACATCAATCCTTCCATTCCCCACCAGGCAGAACTGAAGAAGCTTCTCGGATGAGAAATCCCTGCAAGGAAAAAATCAAAGTCCAGCTGCCTTCCGAAAAAGCCCCTTTGGGACAGAGGTCACTCTCTCTTCCTCTCTTTCTTTCTCCCTTCTTTCTCCCCTTTCTCTTTCTTTCTCCCTTCTCTCTCGTTGACTCCCCTTTCTCCTCTTCCTCCCCTCTTCCTTTTCCCCTTTCTCATTTTCCCCTTTCTTCCTCCCCTTTTTCTCATTGACTCTTTCCCCTTTCTTCCTCCCCTCTTCCTTTCTTTTTCTCCTCTCATTCCCTTCTTTCTCCCTTCTTTCTCTTCCTCCCTCCCTCCTTTCTCATTTTCCCTTTTTTCTCCCTTCTGTTGTTGACTCTTTCTCCCTTCTCCTCTTCCTCCCCTCTTCCTTTTCCCCTTTTTCTCATTGACTCTTTCCCCTTTTTCTCCTCTCCCTTTCCCTTCTTTCTCCTCTTTCTTTCTCTTCCTCCTTTCTTTCTTTTTCCCTTCTTTCTCCCTTCTCTCTCGTTGACTTTCTCCCCTTTCTCTTCCTTTTCCCCTTTTTCTCATTGACTCTTTCCCCTTTTTCTCCTCTCCCTTTCCCTTCTTTCTCCCTTCTCTCTCGTTGACTTTCTCCCCTTTCTCTTCCTTTTCCCCTTTCTCTCTCCTTTTTNAACAAGCATATTTTTCTAGCTCCAGCTCATGATTATGTAAGAAATCTGACCATTCAAATGACCAATCAACAAGAAAACCAATCAATTGCTCAGAATTTAAATATAGCTCTAAACAAACAACCAATCACATGACCAACTGACCACACTGGCACACAGGAAGAGGATAAGAGGACAAGAAAATCCTGATGATGATGTTGCGTAGTTTGGTAACAAAACATTCAGAAACTAAATTGAAGCAAGCTTGGCGAGCAAACCACTGCCAAAAAGGAAATGATCATGGCTGATCTTCTCTAGATCAGGGCTGTCAAACTTGGCAGTCTGGGTCTGGATGCGTCATGTGCTGGCCATGCCCACATCCAGTTTGGCGAAGGGGAAAAAAAGTCACAATACGTCACATGATGATGCTGTGATGACATGAGTTTGACATCTCCTACTCTAGATGGTTTAGTTAAAATCCCTGCAATCCTAGCATTGCCAAGGTTTAAGTCCAAACTTCTGAAAGATGCTAAGTTGCTTCCAATACTTTTGGCTGGGCTGGGTTTACAATTTAGCACTTTCCATGGATCAGTTCTAATCACGGGTATTTATTGTGATAGAATAGATGGCTCCAATAAGGAACGAATATATCAATTTACACGCTGCAGCATAAACGTGCCTGTTCACATCATAAATGCAAGTCAAGATGGGAGCTCAATTCTGAGTGATAGATTTGAGCTATGGCAGCCACCTCCCACCAATACAAATTGGCCCTGACATTCTCATTTTAGGGACAGAAACAGGAGATTGAGAAACAGGCTGATTTCTTCAAAGCCACTTAGTGAGTTCATGAATGACAACCTAAGCCCAAGCCTATAATTCAACTTATAAGAGTACATCAGCTCTCCTAACATAGATTCAGAAATAAAATAAGTGGGTATTTTTTTCTTCCTTTTTGGAACACCATACAAGCTTGACAAGCGGATGATTATGTTCCATTCAGCAAATGCAACCCATTAAAGATGCTGAGCATACTCTAATCCTCCAACGAATGAACAATGAATTTTCCCTGGGCTGCAGGGGAGGAAAAAAAGGAGAAACATAACACCTAACAATGATAGCGGGTGGCAAGATTTGCTTCATTATGTTCCAAAATCATCCTAATGAGAAAGCCTGGAATCAATAATGCTATGCACACTTCTCTTCCGCCCTCACCTTGCCTGCTTCCCCCCCACCCCCGGACTCACAATGAGGGGGAAGGCCAAAAGAGATGGATGAATTAGATATTAATAGCAAAATTGGGTGTTAGGTGTGCTACACTTTAAGGCATTTCCCATTCAGTTCATATTCTTTATTAATAATTATGCAAATTCACATGTTTCCAAAGTCCTAAAGAAAACCCAAGATCTAAGCATAGAATAAATCGGAAATCCCTTCATAGATAGCTTTTTTTTCATGTTTGAATCAGAAGGTACGGGTAGTCTTCCACTTACGACCACAACTGAGCCCAAAATGTATGTTGCTAAGTGAGAAATTTGTGGTGAGTTTTGCCCCATTTTGCAACTTTTCTGCAGGCAGAACCTCCATCTTCCATTTGTAAATTGTATGTTGCACATGCCCTTGCTTAAAGCACTTGAGAAGCCACAATGATCAAAGTGGATCATTTTGCACCATGTGGGTTTCTGGCTGCAAGGTAGCTTCCCAGGTTGATATGTTTAGAAGCTATCATGAGATTGTTGAGTTGTACCATTTGTTTCATTTATCCTTTTGTAAGTAGGGTTGCAGCTGGTGCCACATATTTGTAAATTCATCTAAGGTAGGGTATCAAATTCACGTCGTCATGGTGTCATCACGCAATGTATTGTGACTTCCCTTTTGCTAAAGCAGGGAAGGGGGGTGGCCAGTGTGTGATGCATTCAG